CCCGTTCTCCTTGATCGGTAAACTTGGTCTTGGCTTGCTGGCTGTTCGGGCTGATTTCTGGGGGAGGGGCTTGTTGCTGTGGTTTCCAAATGTCTTTGCCGGAGGCTGAATTGCCCCGCCCTTGTCGGTCCGGGCTAAGCAAGCTGCTTGGGTTTGATCTCAGGAGCTTTTGTTCCCTGCAAGCTCTCCGTACAGCCTTGGAGGACCAGGGCAAAAATGGTGGCCTCCCAATCTCCACCCGGAGTTGCTGAGAACTCGGGGCCCCGCTCCTCAGTGCGCCCACAGAGAAAAGCAGTCACTCCGTGTCCCCGGTCTCCGGCCGCACTCCGTGCTCACCCGGCCTGTGACAGAGCGTTGCTATCTCTGGCACCCGACCCCGTGTGGAGTCTCCAAACCCAGCAGATCCCTGCGGTGCGCTCCCGCGCCGCTCCTCCCCGGGAAGGAAGGGGAGTCTCCCCGGATCTGCCGCCTGTTGGGTCCCTGCTGGAGGAGCAGTGGCCCGACTGGGCCGCGGATCACAGTTTTTGGCAACCCCAAGCTGAGAGCCCGCGCCTCAGCTCCGTCTCTGCAGCCGGCTTCCCCGCTCCGATCCCTGGGAGCTCTGGTGCACTCAGGCTCCCCCGGTCTTTCTGTGACCCCGAGGGTCCTGAGACCACACTGTCCCGGGAGGATTCCACCCCCCGCTTAGCCACTGCAGCGACGTCCCTCAGCGGAGCCGACTTATAACAGTTCCGATTTTGTGCTCCGCGACTCTATCACTTGCCAGAAGCGGCCGACGGAGGCCCCTCCCCCGCCGTCTATCCTCCCGAATATCGCCTCGGATTCACTTCTCCGCATGTCCTACCTTCCAGAAAGTGGTCACTTCTCTGTTCAGATAGTTGTTGCTACTCTCCTCTTCGATCTCCTGTTGAGTTCGTAGGTGTTCAGAATGGTTTGATCCCTATTCAGCTGAATTCCTGAGACCAGACGAAATCCAGGTCTCCTACTGCTCCGCCATCTTGCTCCGCCCCCTAAATTTCAGTTTTTGATCTTTTAAACCAGCTTCGTCATCTTATTGAGCTTCTCATTAATGAATTAAATAGAATGTTGACACATGCTTACATGAGAATTTGAGTTTTTAAAAATAAAAATATGAAGATTACTGTGGCATAAAGAGAACACAAATAGGGAAGCAAAGTGAAGGTTATTGGTGGTTTTTCAGGCAGTTGTTTTTTGAATGGGTTTTTCCAAAAATGACAATTTCCCCAACATCATCCAGTAGAGGAATGAGAATGAGGGATGAGAATCTTTACTTCCTGTGAGGTATTGATGAAGAATAATTGGAAGAAAGGCAGGCAGGGACAAGTAGGCCTCCTGCCCTAAGAGGAAACCACCCTTTAAAGGATTTTACACCCACCCTGGAAGGAGCCCTCCACCCTTTCCCATGTGATAGATAGATGACAAAACCCTGATTGGATGACAGGTACAGGGAGGGTTAATCAGATTAAAACAGCCCTCCAACAAAGCCCATAAAAACCCCAGACTTAGAAACCCCAATGGCAACCCTCTCGGGTCCTCTCCCTCCTCCTCTGTGGTATCACTTTGATTTTGCTCAATAAGCCTTGCTTTGCTGTCCACCACTCTGTCTGGTCTACCTCTTTCATTCTTTGAAGTGGCGTGACGGGGACACCAACAGAGAAAAAAATCCTGCAACAGTATCAAGTGTTTAGTCTTGGCTTTTGGGGCATGGTACCTGAAAAGGCTTCCTCCCAAGTTTTTTCGCTAAAGAAGTTTTGCAATGTCTCCTGTATATCCAGGAGGGAAGCAATAAAAGATTTTGTCTTTCTTTTGAGTCTCATCTTCCCACAAATGCTATAGTTCTATCTTGCTTGGATGAGAGTTTTCTAGGTTCTCTTAGGTGAGTTGGGACTTGACCAAGGAGTCACCAAGAGAAAACTGTAATTTGGGATCATCTCTGCTGTGCTAGTTCTATCTCTTAGGGACCCTAAGAACTGAAAATGAACTGAGCAATAATGAGATATTTCCTTCCTGATCATTGGACTGGAAGGTACCCATAGAAAATCTGTCTAGCCTAAGAATAGATAGGGCACACTTTTAAAAAGAATCTTTTTTAAGAGGTTGGGAGAAGTAACTTAGAGATAAATTCGGTCTGTGATTCCTTCCTGGGATGTAAACGATTGTGAACTGACAATAGCTTAGAGATAGAGCTTTCTTTTGGAATGTCTTAACAATGGAGGAGTACAAGGAGGAGAATGAGAAACTATGACATCCAGGGTCTTATATCATGTGTGTACTTAGCCCTTGCCCTATACTTCACCTTCAGGGTCCTTGGAGTCTTTATTGCTCCGGATACTGTAAACCAGGTTAATATTTGTGAGAAAAGGTCTACAGCCTCAGAATTTTTTGAAATACCGTTCTAAGTCTGAGCAAGCATAATTGGGTCCTCTCCTCAGGTGTCATTAAGCTGAAATCAAGATGTCAGCCAGACTGCAATTTCATACAAGCCTCAGGGGCACCCATCTCCACAATTTGAGTAAATATAATTATTTTATAGATTCTATTTTTAATTCTAAAAATTAAGTGATTTTTACCATCCTCATTTTATAGAATAGGAACTGGAGGTTTTGAACTTTATTAATATGCCTACAATCCCACAGAAATTGACAGTGCAGAGACACTAATCCTGGAGAAATGTTTAAGAGATTTTTTTTTTTTTTAACCCAAGAGCTGTAAAGGATTGGACTCTGCCAGCACCAAGGAGTGCTGACAAGGATCAAGTTAGCAGGCTATTAAAAATAGTTCCATCTAGAAATAATTGTGGCTGGAACAGCCCACAGCTGCGGAGGGGCAGCAAAGGACCACCAATTTGAATGGCAGGTAATTTTACAGCAGCCCAGAGATCCAATTTCTTTTTTTTTTTAATTTTTTATTGTTATGTTAATCACCATACATTACATCATTCGTTCTTGATGTAGTGTTCCATGATTCATTGTTTGTGCATAACACCCAGTGCTCCATGCAGAATGTGCCCTCTTTAATACCAATCACCAGGCTAACCCATCCCCCCACCCTCCTCCCCTCTAGAACCCTCAGTTTGTTTTTCAGAGTCCATCGTCTCTCATGGTTCGTCTCTCCCTCCGACTTACTCCCCCTCATTCTTCCCCTCCCTGCTATCTTCTTCTTTTTCTTTTTTCGTAACATATGTTGTATTATTTGTTTCAGAAGGACAGATCTGTGATTCAACAGTCTTGTACAATTCACAGCGCTCACCATAGCACATACCCTCCCCAATGTCTATCACCCAGCCACCCCATCCCTCCCACCCCCCACCACTCCAGCAACCCTCAGTTTGTTTCCTGAGGTTAAAAATTCCTCATATCAGTGAGGTCATATGATACATGTCTTTCTCTGACTGACTTATTTCACTCAGCATAACACCCTCCAGTTCCACCCACGTCGTTGCAAACGGCAAGATCTCATTCCTTTGGATGGCAGCATAAATTCCATTGTGTACATATACATCTTCTTTATCCATTCATCTGTCGATGGACATCTTGGCTCCTTCCACAGTTTGGCTATTGTGGACATTGCTGCCATAAACATCGGGGTGCACGTACCCCTTCGGATCCCTACATTTGTATCTTTGTGGTAAATACCCAGTAGTGCAATTGCTGGATCGTATGGTAGCTCTATTTTCAACTGTTTGAGGAACCTCCATACTGTTTTCCAGAGTGGCTGCACCAGCTTGCATTCCCACCAACAGTGTAGGAGGGTTCCCCTTTCAGAGATCCAATTTCTAACTAAAGTTTTTCCCTTAAGACCGATGAGATTAGATACATCTAGGGTGCTGCTAGCACCTACTATCTTTCAGGCTGTTAAAAAAACAAAAGAGCTTTTATTATTATTTTTTTATTTTAAGGATTTTATTTATTTGAGAGAGAGAGAATGAGAGACAGAGAGCAGGAAAGGGGAGAGGGTCAGAGGGAGAAGCAGACTCCCTGCTGAGCAAGGAGCCCTATGTGGGACTCGATCCCAGGACTCCAGAATCACGACCTGAGCCGAAGGCAGTCGCTTAACCAACTGAGCCACCCAGGCAACCAAAAGAGCTTTTATTCTTACCTAAATATTTTTTTTTTGGTTGCAATTTTCCATGTCTGACTAGATTTACAACAAACAGAAAAGTAGTAAGAGCTCCCAGGATATTAATTACCACGGTATTAAAACAAATTTTGGCGCGTCAAGCCCCTTCCGGGGTGTGCTGTGAGTGTGCGGGTCCGGAGCCAGAGGGGGCCATTCTAAGTTTACACAAGTTCCCAGAGCGAGGAGACTAAATAGAGCGACAAGGACTCTGCACGCCGAATCCCACACGTCCGCGGTACTCCGCAGGTTCGAGGACAGGCAACCGTTGCGAGGGGTGAGCATTTTTAAACAGCCAGAGGGTGCCTGGGTGGCTCAGTTGGTTGAGCGACTGCCTTGGGCTCAGGTCATGATCCTAGAGTCCCGGGATCGAGTCCCGCATCGGGCTCCCTGCTCAGCAGGGAGTCTGCTTCTCCCTCTGACCTTCCTCCCTCTCATGCCCTCTCTCTACCATTCTCTCTCTCTCTCAGTAAATACATAAAAATCTTAAAAAAAACTTTTAAACAGCCAGAGATCACGTGGTCACCGGCCAGCCCTGTTACTGGCCCTCGGACTCTCACACTTGGCTTTGGCGCCGAACCTTTCCCCCCTTGTGGACGCAACCATTAGCTCCGCTCTCGGAGGGAATACGAGCCAACCTCACGATTAAGGCTTTTCCGAAAGAAGCTTCCGACTAATTCTCAGGAAAAGTTCAGCTATAAATAAAGCAACCAAATGAAACCCACTTAGGAACGCTGTAGAAGGCTCCTTTGGCCAAAAGGAAAGAACAGACCTGACCCTGACTCCCCCTACGCTCTGTAGGGGCCGCGAGGATGGTTCCGTCTAAGGCGCGGACTCCGCCTCCACGGGCGCCGCCATTTTGCTTGGCTGGACGAGAGCGAGCGACGCTTTGGGGGAGGGGTCTTGTAGGCGCCTCACTGGACCCCACGGCCGCGCTGTCGCTTCTCGGGGGGAAGTCCTCCCCGGCGAGGGGCGCGGAACCATGTACATAAAACAGGTGAGGCCTGTGCGCCCCGTGCACCCCCTCACGGGCCTCTGAGGACCACTCCTTGAGGCTGGGGTGTCGCCGTGCGACCGGGCCTCCCGCCTCCCGGCAGGGTGGACCCAGAGCTGGACGCGGGCGGCGGGGGAGGGGAGAGGCCCCGCCCCGCGAGCGCGGGGGGCAGCGGAGAATTGGGGCGCCCGTCTGCAGCGCGGGCCTCCTCGCAGGGCGTTCGTCTGCCGGAGCAGTCTCTCCGAGAGGTTTGGAGGGAGCGGGCCTTCCCGGGTGGGCCGGGTGCGGGCTGAGGGCCCCCAGCCCCGAGCTGACTGGAGGCCGCGCCGGGGGCGGCAGCGGCTGGGCGGGAAGCTGTGTTGTCCTGCGCGGGCCATTTGCGTGGGGTGTATGGAGAGGTGGTCTCCCCGGCCCGGAGGCGCCCCTGGGGGGCTCAGGTTGAGGTGTCAGCTTAGCCCGGGGCCTTTGTCCCCGAATTACGGGAGACGTGAAAGGGACCCTCCTCCTTGCAGAATAGGTAGCGCCGCCTCGTTCACTTGTTTACTCCTGTCAAAATGGTCTTCCCGCGCGAGAGTCCGCCGCAAAGACGAGCCCATTGACGCTCGTGGAGAGAAGTTTCTCTGTTGGGTGTGTTGGACTTGAAGCACCCTTTTCTTGGAACGGCTGCTTATTTTGGCTGGCGGGTGTGTCCGAAAGAAGCGCCCACCGCTCCTGGAGTAAGGGAAGCTGGGGCCAGCCTGCCTGCTTGACACTTTTTTATTAAAGCAATGTCGTGTTTAGCGTTCCAACGAATCTTATACAGTGTACTTGATTTTGAGAGTTCCTTAACAGGTTACTAACTATAACTCCTAAAACACTACAGTGCCAGTGGTTACTAATAAACGGACTGTTTTTTTAAAGATTTTTAATCGCCACTTTTCGGAATGAGTTTCTCTTACAAGAAATAGAAAGCTCTCTATCTTGCGTTACATGAGAAACCAGAAAGAGAAGAGCCAAGGAAAAATGTTAGTTTGGGAGTTACTTCTTTTAGTATGTATACTCTGAAAAGTATCTTTTTTATTTATTAGGTTATTATCCAGGGTTTTCGGAGTTACAGAGATCAAACAATTGTAGATCCCTTCAGCTCAAAACATAATGTTATCGGTAAGTGTTGATGGTTCACAAAATCAGATTGATATGTATAGACCATTTAAATTCTGTCTAGGCTTAAGGAAAGAGGACTTGGGTTTGAATATTACATGAATTTATATATTTTTTTCTATATGAAATAGCATGTCTTTTATCTACACTGACGAATTGCTTATTTTATACGTTTAAAATATTTGCATAAGACGATCATTACTCATTTTTATTTAGGTAGCCTTGTATGTGTGAAAGTGTGTCTTTATGATCATAGCGAATGACACTAAATTTAACATTTGAGCTATTCTGTTCTTGGTATGTCATTTCCTAATTAAAATGCCCACTGTTGCCTTATTTCAAAGCTGACCGTTATTTATTCGCAAATTAGATTGTTCCCAGGTTGTTTTTTTTTTCTGTCATACTGTTTAAAGTCACACCATGCATCTTGTTGGGAAGAGCATAAACTGGAGCATAACAGAATGGGTTTCATATCCCGGTTCTGATACATAGTCTTTCAGACTTGACTCTGGGAGGGGCTTTAGTTTTCTCATTTGTAAAGTGGAGCTAATGATACCCATCTTATAGGGCCGTTGGGAAAATTAAATGAGAAAGTGTATGTGTGAGGATAAAGAGCTGCAGTGATTATTGTTCTGAAATACAGTATTTACGGGCGCCTGGGTGGCTCAGTCGTTAGGCGTCTGCCTTCGACTCAGGTCGTGATCCCAGGGTCCTGGGATGGAGTCCCACATCGGGCTCCCTCCTTCAGGGGGAAGCCTGCTTCTCCCTCTCCCACTCCCCCTGCTTGTGTTCCTGCGCTTGCTGTGTCTCTCTCTGTCAAATAAATAAAATCTTTAAAAAGAAAATGAAATACAGTATTTAGTCTAAAGACTCTTCGGATGAGAATGTCCATTTTTTGCTGATACAGCCAGCAAAAGTGTTTTTTGACATCCTGCTGAATTTTTAAAGGCTAGATGAAACTCTTATAAACAGACTTCCATACATTGTCCCCCTTGCATGGTTTATTGGTATATTAGACTGCTAGGTCTACCATTAAATATAGACTGGGTGGCTGAAACAACAGTAATTTTCTGTTTTGGAAACTCAAGTCCATGATGAGGGTGCCAGCAGAGTCACATTCTGGAAGTCACCATCTTCATCATCATGCTCACAGGACCTCTTTGGTTCTCTCTCCCTCTTCTTTATTAGAACACTAATTCCATCATGAAGGCCCCACCCTCACAACCTGACCTGATCCTGACTTATCTCCCAAAGGCCCCCATCTCCAAATACCATCACATTTGGGATTAGGACTTCCAACATATGAATGGGGGCGGGGAGTGACACAATTCAGTCTGTCGCACTCACCAAGATTAGTAAAGGGCAAACATTATTTTGAAATAAAAAATAAATTTTAAAAATTGAGGGCAAGAATGTCAACTATACTTCAGTTAAAAAAAAATTGAGGGCAAGAAAAAAACCTACCCTCAGTACATCACTTGTAGCTTGTAGTTGGAAATAAAGAAAACATTTTCCTCCCTTCTGTACCTATTGAGTAGTTAATATAAGGATAGCTTGATCCAATATTTTACTTACATTTTGATTACAGGTGCCTTCTGATTCTCATCAATCAGAAAATCTTTAGAAATGGAGAAAAATGAATAATTACTAGGTTTATATTATTTCTTTAACTTACAGGTTAAAAGTAGGTGGATATCTTAATTATATCAATGGTATAATTTTATAAGTGAGCTATAATGATGACCATTATTACCTATGATGATTAGATTATGTCTGTAGGATCTATCAGATATTTTTGTTTTAGCTGTTGCCAGATAGCTGTTTACTACTTTGTTTGCAACATTAGTGTTGTTAATAGTTACAAAGGGAATTGTCTAAGTGTTCTTTCCTTTCTTTAACAAACCTAATATGATTTTACTGCTTAAACGTGTTTTAAAAACAGGTACTTTAATAATATAAGAAAGATCCAAAGTAGTATAGACTGAGATGGACATTAAAAATCTCCTGTAAAAGCATACTGCTTTGGTTATTTAATGATTTTGACCTTGGAAAAAAAAAAGATTGGGAGGCAGGTATCTCTTGTGGTGATGTTTGATGTTTGAATCTCTTGTTTTAATAGTTGAATGATGCTTGAATGTACCAAGCATATCTTTTTTTTTTTTTAAAGATTTTATTTACTTGACAGAGAGAAAGATAGGGAGAGCAGAAACACAAGCAGGGGGAGTGGGAGAGCAAGGAGCAGGCTCCCCACTGAGCAGGGAGCCTGATGCGGGGCTCGATCCCAGGACCCTGGGATCATGACCTGAGCTGAAGGCAGACGCTTAACCATTTGAGCCACCCAGGCGCCCCACCCAAGCATATACCTTTTTAAGGTTACCTTTTCTGTAGCTTTTTAACAAAAGAAATATATGTTAATTATAGAACATTATGGAAGAGTTTAAACGCTAAAAGGAAAAAAAAAACTATAAACTGTAATCCTGCCCAGAAATAGCCATTCTTAATATTAACGATCTATCCTTGTGTTAAACCTGGTTTCCTAGAAAACAGTGCAGGGTGCACTCAGCTACTAATAAGCCTTAATGGGAAGGTGCACTCTTGCAGGGCAAGAGTGAGGGGGAAAGCTGGTCATAGCTTTATAAAGAAGGCACAGCTGGTTTGTGGTCAAATTAGATGACTTCCAGACAGACTTTGGGAACCCACCATGTGTGGGAAAGATCAGATTGGAAAGGAATAGTCTCTGTCTCTGGTCAAAGTTTACCACACAGGGCATTAATTTCCCCCATGCTCTTGGATGGTGTTACTCTGGTGACTAACCCCCGCTGAAGTAGTCAGGGAACTATAGCCTCCTTTGGTTTTTCACAGATCTGACCTGAGTGCATACTTAGGGTAGGCTGAAACAACCTACAGTGATGGATACTGAGCCTCTCCATTGACAGGCAACCAAGACTTGGGTTGGGGCAGGTGAATTTGGGGCACATATAAACTGGATCTACCTTGTGTACATCTATATAAATAAGCCTTTTTAAATAAAAATGGGCTTGTAGTGTAATCCATTGGTAATCTATTTTTTCTGTTTGAGAATAAGTCTTGGGGCACCTGGGTGGCTCAGTCATTAAGCGTCTGCCTTCGGCTCAGGTCATGATCGTGGGGTCCTGGGATTGAGCCCTGCATCGGGCTCCCTGCTCCATGGGAAGCCTGCTTCTCCCTTTCCCACTCCCCATGTTTGTGTTCCCTCTCTCGCTGTGTCTCTCTCTGTCAAATAAATAAAATCTTAAAAAAAAAAAGAATAAGTCTTGAATATCTTCCTATAATCATTAAATATTCAACATCCTTAAAATTGCTATATAGTGTTTCACTCTGTGGGTAAGAGTAATTCTTAAAGGGAAATTTAAAAATTTTAAGTTATTTATTCATGAGTAGATGTTGGTTTGAACTATATGTAATTTTTTTACTTTATTTTTTTTAAGATTTTATTTATTTATTTGACAGAGAGGGACACAGCGAGAGAGGGAACACAAGCAGGGGGAGTGGGAGAGGGAGAAACAGGCTTCCCGTGGAGCAGGGAGCCCGATGCGGGGCTCGATCCCAGGATCCCAGGATCATGACCTGAGCCGAAGGCAGACGCTTAACGACTGAGCCACCCAGGCGCCCCTATATGTAATTCTTTTAATGATAAATTATTTTTTTAAACTTTTATTTAGAGATAATTTCAGATTTATAGAAAAGTTGTATAAGGAACAATACAAAGAATACGCCTATCTGCATTACCCTACTACCTGTTAACATTTTCTTTACTTGCTTTATCATATGCACTCACTCTCACACTTCTCTTTTCAAACAGTAAGTTATATAGGTCATGGTCCTTTACCTTTGAATTCAATGTAAACTTTCTAAGAATAGGGATATTTTCTTACATAAAACACAGTACAAACTTCAGTAAATTTGACATTAATAAAATAATCTGCTCTTCATTTTCCAGTTACACTGATTGACTCAAAAATGTTCTTTATAGTATTTTTTCCTCCTCTAGTACAGGATCTAATTTAATTTAGCGTTAGGTACTGCTGTTGTCATGTCTCTTTAGTCTCCTTTAATCTGGATCAATTCTACAGCCTTTCTTTGTCTTTTATAACATTGTTTTTAAAAAAATACTACATAAATGATGTGGTCCTCTGAGGATATTACATCTGGAGGTAAAGAATCACTTTCTACTTTTTTTAAATGATGTTACTTTTGATCACCCAGTCTTAGGTAGTTATCTGGTTTTTCTACTGTATAGTGTTTGTTCTCTTGCAAGTAATAAATAGTATGAGGATGGGAAATACTTTTGGACCATGCAAATATTGTGCTCCTTTTCAAAATTTCCCCCTAGATTTAGCATCCATTGATAATTATTGCCTTTATTCTGATGGTTACAAAATGATGATTTTCCATTTCCAGCATTCCTTTCACATTTACTGTGTGGTATTCTGTGAGCAAGAGTTCTCTTTCCTTAGCTATTTATCATTTTATTATCAGTTTGGAGTGATGGATTATTTCCTCCTTCCAGCACAAATTTATAATTCATCCAATTATTTTGGTGCTCAGATTTCTTAGATTAAGCCAGTAGAAATCTTGTTTCAAGCTGACCTCTGTGTCATATGCCTTTTTTATTTTTTTTTTTAAGAATTTTTTTTTTTTTAAGATTTTACTTACCATTTGACAGAGAGAGAGCGAGAGCGGGAACACAAACAGGGGTAGTGGGAGCGGGAGAGGAAGACTTCCTGACGAGCAGGGAGCCCGATGTGGGGTTCGATCCCAGGACGCTGGGATCATGACCTGAGCTGAAGGCAGATGCTTAACGACTGAGCCACCCAGGCACCCAGTCATATGCCTTTTTTAAAAAGTGATTTATTACTTTCTGGCACAACAGAAATGATTTTTTTTTTTAGGCTTTACACTAAAGATGATAACTGTAAGGGTTAACTTGTTCAGGATATCTTGGTCAAGATGAGAGAGATTGGGAATTTTGCTGAACAACAAAATTCAAATGAATTCATTAAGTCTGAAGCATTGATATCTTTTTATGTATAGAATTGTTTATTTCTGAATTCAGGTAGTTGATAAAAAAGTGCCTTATACTTACCTATACTTTTGTGATTCTGAGATTATATGTGATATGTAGGGCTGATCATAAGTACTTTAATAAGCAAATAGTTTGAGAATTTAAAATGACTGTAAGAATTAAAAATTTAACATGTAAATCTTTAAATTATTAAAAAGATTCTATTATATATAATTTAAAAAGAATTATATGTCCATAGTAATGATTGTAATTATGAAAACCTGGTAACGTTTGGTTATTCCTATTAATTTTAAACTATTAGAAAAGAGCAAAAGGTCACCTGGGTGTCTCAGTCGTTAAGCGTCTGCCTTCACCTCAGGTCATGATCCCAGGGTCCTGGGATCGAGTCCCACATCGGGCTCCCTCCTTCGGGGGGAAGCCTGCTTCTCCCTCTCCCTCTCCTGCCGCTTGTGTTCCTGCTCTCGCTATCCCTGTCTCCATCAAATAAATAAATAAAATCTTCAAAAAAAAAATAGAAAAGAGCAAAAGAATCAATGAAATAAATTTAAGAAAAAAAACCATCTGATGTCTATACAAAAATTGTACTCATTTGGTGATTGAAGCTCTTGTTTTTGATTTCTTTTGTTTACTCTTTTGTATTTAACTTCAAATACTAAGATGTTAAGTTAGTAGAATATAAATTTTTTAATACTTTCAGTAAAGTTTTAATTTTATTGGTTTCTATGCAAAGTAACATGTACTTTTTGAAATTTTATAGTGGGCAGAAATGGATCTGGAAAAAGTAACTTTTTTTATGGTAAGTATTGTTTTTTAAATTCTAAATATGTTAAGACCTAGGTATCTTAAGGTAATTTATTTTAAAAATTGGTTTTCTAAAAAATAAAAATAAAAAATAAAAATTGGTTTTCTGAGGCGCACCTTCTGAGGGGTGCCTGGGTGGCTCAGTTGGTTAAGCATCTGACTCTTGATCTCAGCCCAGGTCTCAATCTCAGGGTTGTGAGTTCAAGCCCCTCATTGTGCTCCATGCTTGGTGTGGAGCCTACTTAGAAAAATTGGTTTTCTGAGGTTGTGTCTGCATGAAACTCAAATACTTCTTCATACAGGATTGTAGTTTAGTGTAGAGGATTTCAAGTATAATGGTATAATGATCTGAGTTCTCTATACCTAGTGATTAATTAGCTGAAAAACTGGGCAAAACAATCTCTTAAGGTACTCTTTGCACTTCAAAAAGAGGTCTTTGAGGGCCCCTGGGTGGCTCAGTTGGTTAAGCTACTGCCTTCGGCTCAGGTCATGATCCCGGAGTCCTGGGATCGAGTCCCACATTGGGCTCCTGGCTCAGCGGGGAGCCTGCTTCTCCCTCTGACCCTATCCCCTCTCATGCTGTCTCTTTCTCTCTCTCTCTCTCTCTCTCTCAAATAAATAAAATCTTAAAAAAAAAAACAAAACATAAAAAGAGGTCTTTGACCTGCCTACTTTGATGGGTTGTGAGAATCATGAGATAATACAAATGGAAGTGCTTTTTAAACTTGAGTGCAGTATCTAAGTTTTGCAAATGCATATATATATATATATAATATATATATATATAAATGCAGTAGAATAGTTAATACTGTTTTGGAGAATGGCTTATCTTTCTGTTTTGTTTATTTATTTATTTTTAAAGTAAGCTTTGTACCCAGTCTAGGTCTTGAACTCATGACCCCAAGATCAAGAGTCACATGCTCTACTGACTGAGCCAGTCAGGCACCCCTCTGTTTCATCTTCTAAAAAAATGCTTTCTAAATCTTTTTTTTTTTTTTTTGGAAGGATGGAGGGGTGTAAAAAATCACAGATTCAACAAAAGACTGTTGTCAATTTGAAAATAGTTAAATAGGGGCACCTGGGTGGCTCAGTTGGTTAAGCGACTGTCTTCAGCTCAGGTCATAATCCTGGAGTCCCACATCAGGCTCCCTGCTCAGCAGGGAGTCTGCTTCTCCCTCTGACCCTAATGATCGCTCTCTCTGTCTCATTCTCTCTCTCAAATAAATAAAATATTTTTTTAAAGATTTATTTATTTATTTTGAGAGAGTGAGAATGAGAGAGAGAGAAAGAGTACATGAGAAGGGGGAGGGTTAGAGGGAGAAGCAGGCTCCTCGCTGAGCAGGGAGTCCGATGCGGGACTCGATCCCGGGACTCCAGGATCATGACCTGAGCCGAAGGCAGTCGCTTAACCAACTGAGCCACCCAGGCGCCCTCAAATAAATAAAATCTTAAAAAAAATAGTTAAATAGCTTTGAAAATTAAGTGGGGCACCTGGTGGCTCAGTCAGTTAAGCGTCCAACTCTTGGTTTCAGCTCAGGTTGTGATCTTGGCCCGTTGGGCTTTGCACTCAGCGCGGAGTCTGCTTGAGACTCTCTCTCCCTCTCTCTCTGCCTTTGCCCACCACACTCTCATTCTCTCTCAAATAAATAAATCTTTAAAAAATGCAATTAAGTATAATAATGCCTCTGTTAACAAATCCTTCGGAGAGAAAATACATTTTAATAGTTTTGGACTATACAAGAAGCAAGTTGAAAATTTTTGAACCTCTTAGTTGAGTAGTGCTTGAGGAATAGCGGGGAACTTAGTAAGAACAAAGGTTCTATCCCATCTCTGCTCACAAATCAATAGGCCTTCAGTGGTTGTAATTTGGTGATGATAAGAGAATGGGATTGGAATAGAAGTACTTCATTATCTCCAGGGGATGAAGGCAATTTGAATCTATCCTCCCAAGGTGATTATAAAAGATAAACCACTCCACCCTTAGCGTACACATTCATACATGCACACTCAACTCTTAGAATGTCAAAGGTCTCCTGGGTGGACTGGAAACAGGACAGCTGAGTAGTTTCATTTCTAGGGCAGGGTGGTCCAGTTAGGTACCCTATATGGAAGCAGGAATAGCTTCTTAGAGCAGATAAAGGCAGTGCAAGCATTGCAGTAGAAGGTGGGAATCTGAAATGATGTCCCTGTATTTCCCACTTAGTTCACTTTCTTTTGATGAAAAGTATCCAGTTTAGGATATTCTAGGAATATATTCTATTTTGTTAATAAATATTTTGATGTATATTATTTATATCTAGTGGGTAAAAACAAAGTGTTAACCACTCAGTGTATACTTGGATCAAGAGGTAGACTTTAGTTTGCATGTCTCTTTGTTACCTCAGTGTTCTCTTTTTCTTCCCTTAAATGTTTCAGTGGAAACTTCTTAGTATTTTTCTTATCATTTCCAAGCTAATTAGTCTGAAATACATGCAAATCTTCTACATATATGGAATAGATAATCTACTTTATCTGCCTTGTTCATTACCTGGTAGAAGGTATGGGGAGTTATAAATAAGGCACAGATCTTTTTTTAGACTGTACTAATAGTTACGTTTTTGTATTTTTAGCAATTCAGTTTGTTCTTAGTGATGAGTTCAGTCATCTTCGTCCGGAACAGCGATTGGCTTTGTTGCATGTGAGTGAAATTGCTTTGAGAGGTTACTGATACTATGTATTTTTTAAACTACACTGTTGATTCTGGTAAATAAAATCATTTGTTCAGGCTTAGATCTTTTGTAAACATGATACAGTCTCTCTTAAATGTATTCTGTGGAATTTAGCCTACTATATTAATGCATGATTTTTATATAATGGTAAGAAAATTGTAGGATTTTTCTATAGATGGGTATGTCTTCCATATAAATTCTTTATTAAGAATATGTTCTGGTAATGCTCAGAAGCAGGTTTGCTGAGGAGAAAAAAAGAGTTTGAGATTGGGAATTAGGAATTTTGAGACTTAGAACCAGAAGTTAATTGGGAGCATAGGGAAGCAACAGTTGCAAACTAAACAACATACTTGTTTTATTTCTGGCCATATTTGTAAGTCAAATGGTAACAGCATTTTCCAATATGAAAGGTAAGTATTTATAGTAAATAAAATTGTTAGAATTTTTCATTGAATAATTATGAATAACGAACTAAAGAAATTTAAGGGTAAAAAATTATAAAAGGCTGTAATAAAATGGTAAGATTTCTTTTTGGTTTGAATGTGGCTTATGATTAGTTTTAAGACCAGAAAGTGAAATTCCTTAGTATATCTCAATAGACTATCTCACAGTTATTAGGGAGGTGTTTTGGTTGTTTTTGTTTTTTTAACCATTATCTTTTATTTTGCTCTCTTAAACTTGAATTTTTAGATGAACTTTTTTTTTAGGTTTCTAAGATTGGCATTTGAAAGAATAGCCTCTTTAAGTATCATTCTTTATTGTGTTGAATCACTATGTAGTAACAGTTTCTAAACTCTGGAAATTCTCTGGACTTGGTATAGCAGTAGCTGGGTCATAAGTTGGCCTATATGTGACACATGTTAAATGTGTGTCTTTTCATAGCAGATTTAGGATTATGTAGCATATTGTAAATTGTTTTAAAAAGCTGAGTTCCAGTAATTATATAATTTGTTAGGGTTCCTTTCCAGCATTAAATGAGTCTATAAGAGAAAAGCCTCAAGTGTTACAGATATTAGCAAATAGGTAGAATTAGGTGGGCCTGGGGTTTTAGGTTCTAATAAAGTGGTCTTCAGAACAAGATCGAAATACATCTGACTTTGATATCTCTTGAATAGTCCTCATGTTTTTAGTTAGAATCCAAAGCCATTTGGTTGAGAAGTATTGTTATCCTAAGCCAGTGTCTTTGCTCTTTTGACAAGAAGGATATATTACTAGTCTGATAGAAATTTTTTCCATTGAATTAGGTTTGTTACCATGCACTAAATTTTAAAGGTATTTAAAGGGGAAAAAAAAAGATAAAGAATGTGAAAATACCACTTAAATGATGTTTATTTTTTGCATGTTTTAGGAGGGTACTGGTCCTCGTGTCATTTCTGCTTTTGTGGAGATTATTTTTGATAATTCAGACAACCGGTTGCCAGTGAGTAATGGCTTTTTTTCCCAGTAATAATGTTGAGAATTTATTGATGCAGCTGACTTTCTTCCAAGCTTTGAAACATTTACAACTGTACTTAAGCTTTTATAATTTAGTTTATGCTAAAATAGCTATACAGTTTACATATTAATTTTGTCTTAAAATTATGAACATTCTAGTAAACAGATGGGGGTGTGTAAGCTGTTGTGAAAAAGCGTCTGTTTTAAGAGTTGATATTCATAGCATATCTTTAGTGAGAATTGAAGTTTCAAAATAATGATTATGGTTAGGGACTCTAGAATGACCTTATTAACTAAAAAGTTTACCACTTTTACTGTGAAATTAATTTTAGGCTTTTACATTTTTTCTTAGATTGATAAAGAAGAAGTTTCACTTAGAAGAGTTATTGGTGCCAAAAAGGATCAGTATTTCCTAGACAAGAAAATGGTCACGTAAGCATTTTCTTTACATTTTAATTTCTTTACAAAAGAGTGAAAGTATTTTACTTAGCTCATTATATGGGTTTTATATATGCCTTGTGTTCAACAAACCAGTATTTAGAGCATTAACATAAGAAAAAGGATTCTTGGGGCACCTGGGTGGCTCTGTTGGTTGGGCATCTGCCTTTGGCTCAGGTCATGATCCCAGGAGGCTGGGATCAAGCCCCACATTGGGCTCTCTGCTCAGCGGGGTGCCTGCTTCTCCCTCTTGCTCTGCCTGCTTGTGTGTGTGCGCGCGCTCTCTCTCTCTCTCTCTGTCAAACAGATAATATCGTTTGGGGGGGAAAAGAAAGAATCAGGATTCTCTGAGGCTGATACAATAGATGGTTTAATGACTATAGTCCCTCATGCTCCTTAACCCAGGAGTCAGCCTTCGTTTTTTTGCTTATTGGGTTATTTATCTGAAAAAATTTTTTCAATGTTTATTAACAGGAAAAATGATGTGATGAATCTCCTTGAAAGTGCTGGTTTTTCTCGAAGCAATCCTTATTATATTGTAAAACAAGGAAAGGTAAAAAAATTGTATGTCCTTTTTTTATAGAATTTGTTTTCTGAGTATATTCCCTTGAATGATGAACTTGGCTTATTGATTTTAGTGGTTAAGTTGAAGCAAAAATGTCTTTTGTTTTCATTGATTTATTTTGTATTGATAGTATTACCTTTTAAAGTACAAAGAAGATCTATTGTATAGTGGGATAGAATCATTTCAGCAGTTGGTGGATTTTGTCTTCTTGGTGGCCTATATTACTTAATAAGATGTCTTGTACTGGAAGACATTTTTGGTTTGTGAAAGTCACAACGATCATATTTAAGAACAGTATAGAGGGGTGCCTGGGTGGCTCAGCTGGCTAAGTGTCCGACTCTTGATGTCAGCTCAGGTCTTGATCTCAGGGTTGTGAGTTCAAGCCCTGCATTGGGCTCCATGCTGGGCATGAAGCCTAACTTAAAAAAAAAAAATACTATAGAAATTCTGTAAAAATAACATTTGAAAAAAATTACTTCCTAAAATTAATTCTCTCTTACTTAATATATCACACAGCTAAAATAGTTAGCTTACATTGCCAGAAATATACCATAATGCCACATACTATTTTTTCTTAGAGATTATATTTTCTATAGTTTTTAGTAGTTACAAACTTTCTACTGTTTCTTCATATACTTTATATCTAAGGTAATTTCTTTTTTTAGAACATACCCTGCAGTGTTCTCATAGTTTGTTGTAGTGTTTTTTTGGACTAGGGGAAAGTTCTTTTTAAATGTCCACTTATTTCATATTGGAGGATTTTTAGATATGTGTTGGAAAGGTAGCATCCAGGAGAAGTGATTAGGAAGAGTATGGTGTTTTGCATTTGGGAAATGCAGAACAAGTTTTTGAAAAGACCAGCTTTATAAGCAAGGGATTTCTTTAAAAGGAGGCTGATTATGAAAGACTACTTATCTGAGTCTTCCCTACGCACATACAGCATAGGCCCTTATACTTCATTTCAGTTTCTACTTATATGTCATTTCATATAAGCCATCTAGGAGTTAACTAAAAGAGCATTGCCTTTACTCCAGCCCTACATGTTTTCTCTATTCTGTGTTTTTCCTAACAGTTAGACTGTACTGGTGTATATTTATTTCTTGTTGTCTTCCATTAGAATGTAAGTTCCAGGAGGGAAAGACCTTTTCTGTTTGTTCATTGCTCCTTTCCCAGTGCCCAGCAGAGTGGCATAATGTTGTAAGCATTTGTTAAGTATTTTTTAAGTGAATACGTTGAATGACCATAATTGGGGTAATCAAGGATAAGGATCTGAAGGAGGGGGTGTGCCTGGGTGGCTTAGTCGGTTGAGTGGCTGACTCTTAATTTCAGCTTGGGTCATGATCTCCAGGTCCTGAGATCAGGCCCTGCGTCAGACTCCATGTTTGCTGGGAAGTCTTGGGGATTCTCTCTCTACCTCTTCCCTGGCCCCTCCCCCCACACGAGTGTGTGTGCTCTCACTCTCTCTCTCTCAAATGAACAAATCTTTAAAAAAAAGAAAAAAGGATCTGAAGGGGGATTCCTTGATTTATATGCTTTTGATAGACCATACTGTCTTAGTTCAGAGCTGGTTCTCTTTTTATGTGAAAGTGAGAGTAACTCACTTCACTTTTTTAATGCAGTGAGAACATTTTTTGCCTTTAATGATTAGTTTTATTTTTATGAATATGGTAAACTCATGCTTGTTGTTTAAAATTGCATGACAGTTTGTACCACTTTCTGTGGTTTTTTGGCCATATATATTTTTTCAAGATTTTATTTATTTTAGAGAGTGTGCGAGCGGGGAAAGGGACAGAGGGAGAGAGAGGATCTCAAGCAGACTGTGCCCAGCGTGGAGCCCGATGTGGGGCTCCATCACATGCTCTTGAGAGCATGACCTGAGCCAAAACCAAGAGTTGGACACTTAACTGACTGAGCCACCTGGGTGCCCTGCCATATATTTTAAGATTTTAAGGATGCTTTTGCTTATTTTATTTAATGGTTGCTACTCCTGTTATTTTTATCTGCCTCTCTTTTGGGGGTACCTGGATGGCTTGCTCAGTCAGTAGAGCATGTGACTCTTGGGGTTGTGAGTTTAAGCCCCATATTGGGTGTAGAGTTTACTTAAAAAGTAATAATAATGCATACCATTTTTGTTTTATATATATATATTTACTTATTTTTTTTTTTAAGATTCTATTTTAGAGAGAATGCACACAAGTGGGGGCAGGGGCAGAGGGAGAGAATCTCAAGTGGACTCTGCACTGAGCATGGAGATGGACTCAGGGCTTGATTTCACAACCCTGAGATCATGACCTGAGCTAAAACCAAGGGTTGGACGCTCAACCAACTGAGCCACCCAGGTGCCCCTGTTGTATTTTTAATAGTATCATTATAGCTTTTTAAAAATATAGAGTAATAGTTTCCCCCTTGTAAAAATACTTTGCTCTTTCCAAGTGGAGTTCATCTTTTATACCTTACAGTGTTGACTGAGAAAAAGTATGGTGATGGAATGTTTGTTCTTCCTTCATTTTTAATGTAGAGTTATATTCATAAATTAGATTGATGAATGTATCAATTCTATTTGGATTTGCATTTGATAAATTTCATTTAAATAAAGGACATATAGGTGTGTAGGTATATGCAATGCACAAATTACATTCTTGAAGTGATACTCAAAACTTAGCATGTGAAAACTCAAGGTAGAGTTCTTAAAGAGCAATCTGTAGCTACGTAATAATTATTTTTCCAAAATTTATAGATCAACCAGATGGCCACAGCACCAGATTCTCAGAGACTGAAACTATTAAGAGAAGTAGCTGGTACTAGAGTATATGATGAACGAAAAGAAGAAAGCATATCTTTAATGAAAGAAACGGGTAAAGAAATGTGATTCTGCCTTGTTTTATGAATTACTTTTTCATTGTGTTATTATAGTTGAAAGGGCTTCTATCTATTCTCACCAGTATACTGTTTGGTAATTTGCCTACATATTGAATGGAGAGAAAATTAGTTTGTGACATTTTAAGTTTTGAGATTTCAAATAATTTCTCTTTAAATAAAGAATTGCTGTTAGATAATAATGCCTTTGTAGGTCAACTATTTTGTGCCTCCACTGTCCTCATTGTTAGTGAGGATAACAGAATTGGATGCAGTCCTCAAAAATAATTGCTGGGAGTGTCAGCTGGCATTAGGTTTTAAGTTGTTTAGGAGCAAGTAAATGGAAAACTTCGGATCTTTTTTAGTACATGTATTTATGGAAACCCTACTTTGCTTTTCAAATTCTGTGTTCTGTCATGTCTTAAGAGTCAGACAGTCTTGAGTTCAAAATCTGACTAATAACTAATAATTAACTGACACTGTGACTTGATCTCTCTGGTCTAAAACCTCTCCATCTGTAAAATTTTTTTTCATAGTTTATGGTGGTGAGTAGAGGAGCAGAGTAGCACCATGATTGGAATATAGTGGGTGTTCAATATATGGCAGTTATAGATAATGCTATTACTATAAAAGTTGAAAATCAGTGACATCAATGATATTAGTAGGGTTTTTTTTTTTAAATATTGTGGGAAGGCACAGTTGCCTTTAAAGGAAGTTTAAACTGAGGCCCTTAACCACATGTAATAAAAGAATTAGTGAACTCTGGTTCAAAAAGATACATGCACCCATATGTTTATTACAGCATTACTTAACAGTAGCCAAGAGGTAGAAGCAACCTAAGTGTCCATCAATAGACGAGTGGATAAAGAAGGTGTGGTATATGTATACAATGGAGTATTCCCTAGCCACTTTTTAAAAAAATGAGATCTTGCCATTTGTGACAACATGGATGAACCTAGAGGGTATTATGCTGATGAAATAAGTCAGAGAAGAGCAAATACATGATTTCACTAATATTTGGAATCTAAAAAAAAACAAGCAAACAAAACACTCAAATACAGAGAACCACCTGGTGGTTGCCAGGGTGGTGGTGCAGGGGGAAGATGGGTAAAATAGGTAAAAGAGATTAAGAGGAAAAACTTTCATGTATAAAGTAAGTCACAGAGATGGAAAGTACAGTATAGGGAATATAGCCCGTGATATTGTAATAACATCGTGTGGTGACAGATGGTAACTACACTTACGGTGAGCATTGTATAATGTATCGAATTATGGAATCACTGTACTGTGTACCTGAAACTGATACAACATTTTATATGAACTAAAATAATAAAAACTTAAGTGTCACCATGTGTAACGTTCTCTGATGCTTTTCGTAATAAAGCATTTTGTCATTTTAGTATCTTAGATTTGGTTACCACATACTATTCTATAATGCTGTAGTTCTTAAGATTGATTTTAACTCATGGTATATTTGAGAATAGATATTATTTACATAAGAATTTTATTCAATTCCTTCACCCCTCTCTCATTTCTTTTTAAGAGGGCAAACGGGAAAAAATCAATGAGTTGTTAAAATACATTGAAGAGAGATTACATACCTTAGAGGAAGAAAAGGAAGAACTAGCTCAGTATCAAAAGTGGGATAAAATGAGACGAGCCCTGGAATATACCATTTACAACCAGGAACTTAACGAGACTCGTGCTAAACTTGATGAGGTAAAAGAATTTTGTTATTTAAATTCAGAGTGATTTTATATAATGACTAGGTCAAGCTTATTCTATTTTCAGGGATTCTTAAATAGAAACTTAAAAAAAAATTTTAAACCTCTTAATGAAATCATTGGTCAGTAAATTTGTTCTTTCAATTTATTCCAAGGAAAATGCCTACACCTGTATGGTCCTTGCTATAGTTTTATCTGAAATGTAATCAGGTGGTGGTGCAAGGCAAACCAAAATGAGGGAAGCCACCTTTAAAATCTTCATGAAGGGGCGCCTGGCTGGCTCAGTCAGTGGAGCATGGGACTCTTGATATCGGGGTCATGAGTTCAAGCCCCACGTTGGGGGTGGAGTTTACTTAATAATAAAAAAACTTCATGAATTTTTTTCTTGGCTTTTTAGTAATACTTTAAAGGAGCTTTCTACTTTAAAACCACTAAAAATTAAAAAAACAAGTGAATGATTTTGTTTTAGCAGATATTTTACAGTTTTACTACATGTTATGAAGTATTAAACAAAATACAAAATGAGTTAGAAATTACAGCTTTTTGTTCCCCCCAGCTTTCTGCTAAGCGAGAGACTAGTGGAGAAAAATCCAGACAATTGAGAGATGCCCAGCAGGATGCAAGAGATAAGATGGAGGTAAGATTATAAACTAGGCTTAGGTTAACTTATATTTTTTGACCACAGTAAATCCTTTTGTACCAGAATTATGGAATGGTAACTTCAAACCGGTGTCATTGGGATTGAGTATTGGAAAGACAGAATAGTACTGAAAGTGTAAATGAAGGAGAAAGGGACAGAACTAGTGGTGTTAAAACTCTGCTTTTGTACTTCTAATTGTCTGACTCATTTCTATTTCATACTTTTTGACTAGGATATTGAGCGCCAAGTTAGAGAACTGAAAACAAAAATTTCAGCTATGAAAGAAGAAAAGGAGCAGCTCAGCGCTGAAAGACAAGAGCAGATTAAGCAGAGGACTAAGTTAGAGCTTAAAGCCAAGGATTTACAAGATGAATTGGCAGGCAATAGTGAACAAAGGGTAAGTTAAAGTGATAAAAATAAAAATGAAAGACGTAAGTGTTCAGTTGAATAGGTATTACAGAAGACCATCCTTTCTGTGACGGGGGTGCATGCTTATATTTTTGTAGATCTGGCACATTAAAATAATTTTCACTTAAGTAGCAACTCGATACTGTCTCCTTGTTTCTTTTATTTAAAAACTAGTTTTATGTTGCAGGATTAGTTTCCTCATGAATTTTTTTTCATGAGAAAATATTTTATGCTAAACTTAAACAAATTTTTAAGGTTGCATTTTTACTTATCCTGCTTTATTTACAGAAACGCTTATTAAAAGAGAGGCAGAAACTGCTTGAAAAAATAGAAGAAAAGCAGAAAGAACTGGCAGAAACAGAACCTAAATTCAACAGTGTGAAAGAAAAAGAAGAGCGAGGAATTGCTAGGTCTGGGATTTCTTTCACCAACACTTCTACCTTTCTACATAGTTCTCTGTGAAAGCTAAATAGTTATGAGTTAAGACACAGTAAGGGCAAAAGTTAAATCCAATTTCAAAATAATAGCCTGTGTTAAACAGCTACTGTGGGCCAAGCGTTACTGTATACATATCACATACATTTTTTTCACTTAGAAGCCCTAAGACATTTACATTGTCCTCACTGTAAGTTCAAATTTGAGGCTCTGGGAGGCTAAATAGCTTGCCTAAGATAAATAACTTGCCTAGATGTTGTTGGGCTTCTTAAAACATGGATGGTGGTTTGTTTTTTTGTTTTGTTTTTTACCCACATGACATCTTACTCTGTTTCATCCTATTTCCTTTTTTTATTGCTGTTTTAGCATCTAGACATTTTGGTATCTATATGTAGATTGAACATGCCAGCTTTTGCTGATTTCATGGTTTAGTGCATTATTATGTTTTTATGCCACCAGTATTTGTTTTAATGAATTGTTTATTTACTTTGCCCCTTTTTTCTGATTTTTTTTCTTATTGTTTGATAAGGTGGTTTGTAATCTGTATTTGTTCTAGTATTCTGTGTATTGTAAATATTTTCTTTGTCTTTCTCTTGCCTTTTAACCTTGATAGTGTCTTCTATTGTAAGGAATTAGAAATGTTTATATAGTTAAATATAGTTTGAAAATTCCTGAGATAGGATATTAGAACTGTCTCTAGCTTTACTGACTAACACAGAACTGGAGTAAAGACATTGCCCGAAATCCTTAGGATATGGGTTGTTTCACATGACTTTAACTGTGACTTTTCAAAATGAAATTTATATAGTACTAGCCCAAGGAGCTCTATTAGATACCAGTTGCTTTTTATATTTTTTTACGGAATTTTGAAAATGGCTGTTATCTCTGTGTTCTTGACATAACAATTGTAGTTAAACTTATTTTCTTGTCTCCTTTTTAATCCATTCTTTTCTTCTGTCTTATATAGATTGGCCCAAGCTACCCAGGAAAGAACAGATCTTTATGCAAAGCAGGGTCGAGGAAGCCAGTTTACATCAAAGGAAGAAAGGGATAAATGGATTAAAAAGGAACTCAAGTCTTTAGATCAGGCTATTAATGACAAGAAAAGACAGATTGCTGCTATTCATAAGGATTTGGAGGACACTGAGGCAAATAAAGAGAAAAACCTGGAGCAGTATAACGTAAGAACTTTTATAGCTGCTTTGTGAAAATTTTTCAGAAGACATGTACATTTTACCTATTTCTTTAAGTTTTATTTTTGAACAATACATTGCTACTCTTAAAATACACAAAACGGGTACTTATTTAGAAAAGACCAGCACAATTTAATATTTATATACATAATATTTATACATATACATTAATATTTATATGGTAGTTTTCCTTTTCAAGGAAGATTTTTTTCCATATCCGTGAGTGTTCATGTAGATCGAGTATATTTTAAAATATATTTTTTATGAATTGGTAGAATGTTCCTTAACTACCCTTAATTTTAATGTGATAAGTCTAAAATATAATTTCAGAGTAACTAATTTTTTTTCCATTTTTACAGTCTTTTACAATTCTCTGTCAATAACTTACTGCAGAATATATTTTTTGTTGGTTAAGGCAGTGGTGATTTTACAAGATTTTCTAAATGAATAAAACATTATATACTGTGCATGTTTAGTAGCATTTTCTTAAAAATTGAAGTAGAAGATAAAAATCACTTCCAGAATAAGAAAGATCTCATGTTGTTTAAAATGAGAAAGGGGGAAAATGCTTTGTGAAGTGTTATGTGTGGCTGTATATAGGATGATAGAAGCGATGAGAAGGGATTATGTAGGACGAGTGTAGGGTGAAGAAGTTATGTATGTACCTACACAGAGGAACCCTCTTACCTCATGAGATCTGCACCAGTTGGTTATTGGTTTATATCAAAGTCACTAAATGCATAAAATCTTCATATATGTATGTATATTAAATTTTATATGTAATAGTATTTGTGTTTATACACATGTAAACATATATATATTTATATATATCGTAAATATTTTGCTTAAAAAGATAAATGTTTGCTCATGTACCAATCTTTTTTTAAGGCTATTTTTTAGAGTAGTTTTGGGTTCATAGCAAAATTGGGAGGAAGGTACAGAGGTTTCCCATATACCTCCTACTACCACAAATGCATAGGCTCCCCCATTATCAACATTCCCCCACCGGAGTACACACCAGTCTTTTCATGTAGAGCCCAAGATGTTTCTTTTGAGTATGAGTAGTGATTGGGAGTTCTCAGGGGACTTTTTTGTTAGGAGCCACATATGTAAATATAGTTCTCCTTAAAGCTGGATGAGAACAGAATTCAGGATTCAATCTAGGATCATGTATTGCATTTAGTTGTCATATTTCTGTTATCTTTTGTAATCTGGACCAGTTTTCTAGTTTTAAAACTTTGTGATTTGACATTTTGAATTACGATATTTTGTTATAAAGTACATATTACATATTAATATATGTGTTTATGTATTATGTTATTTCTCGATCTTTTAGAGTTGATTTCCCCATTTAATTCAGTTTTTAGTGAGTCACCATTGAGTGTATCCAGAACTAAGTCAAGTTTTTAAAGAAACAACTCTTTTCTTTGTCTTCATATTCTGTTTAATATTCAATGTAATCACAGCATAAACGAAAACATAGTGGGGAGCAAAGCCAACTGGCTCTGTAATCATAAATAACTGGTAGAAAAGTGACCAGGAGTAATAGACAGTAGCCTCCTAACCTCTAGAGTCCAGTGTGCTTTGGTCAGGATATTTTATGGAGGGAATGGAAAACACAGGTTGATCCCAGTAGTTAGTTATTTGGAAATTGGTGTAGTTTCAGCTGTGATAGCTACGTGTCCTTTCCTAAAAGAAAGAAAATGTGTTTGTCATGAGTTCATGGAAACAACCTCAACAAATGCTCTTTTTGAAACAGCCTGGTGAAGAGCCAAGATTTTTCAGTAGTTTTTATTCATTCTTTCTCAAGCTTGAACTTCATTATATTTGCAGTATTTCAGCTACACCTTCCACTGGTGAAGTCTGTCCTTTATACTGGTTAGAGATGATTTTATAGTGCTGATTGAATTATGTAGAATGGCCTTTTGCTTCTTAGTATAATCCTCAATCTGTCGTATATGTGTAGAGGGAATGGTGTGAAAACTATTGAGTGCAGTATTTTGAGATTGTGTGAATGTATTGTTTTCTTCTAAAATTCTAGTAGAAAGCTTTAGATCATTAGTGAGCAAATTAATTCTATTTTAGCAGTATTTTTAGAGTAATTCATTTTATGGTTTATATTTTCTCTTGATGTGCTCTTTTGCCTAAAGGCATTTTTTTAAAAGTTAGAATTGGATTTTTTAATAGCTTTATTAAGGTACAGTTGACATAATGATAAATTGTGTGTGTTTAAAATGTATCTTTGATAAGTTGATAAGTTTTGCATCTGTGAAATCATGACCACACTTAAGATAACAAGCCTGTTCATCACCCCAAAATGTTTCCCCTTCCTTCTTCCCCTAGCAACTACTGATCTCGCTCTCACTATGGACTAGTTTGCCTGAAATTGGATTTTAAGTTTAAATTATTTTTATTTCCATAGAAACTGGATCAGGATCTTAATGAAGTCAAAGCTCGAGTAGAAGAACTGGACAGAAAATACTACGAAGTAAAAAATAAGAAAGATGAATTACAAAGTGAAAGAAAGTTAGTATAGACTAAAATATGCCTTAATTTTTTTTTTTTTAAGATTTATTTATTTGACAGAGAGAGACACAGTGAGAGAGGTAACACAAGCAGGGGGAGTGGGAGAGGGAGAAGCAGGCTTCCCGTGGAGCAGGAAGCCCGATGTGGGGCTCGATCCCAGCACCCTGGGATCATGACCTGAGCCAAAGGCAGATGCTTAATGACTGAGCCACCAAGTGCCCCGATGCCTTAATTTTTTTGAGTAACACTAATTACTGGCTGTTAAATGGTCTTTAAGCTATAAATGAGCTAGGGGTACCTGGCTGGCTCAGTTGGTGGAGCATATGCAACTCTTGATCTTGGGGTTGTGAATTCAAGCCCCACTTTGGGTGTAGAAATTACTTGAAAAAACTCTTGGGGCTCCTGGATGGCTCAGTCAGTTAAGCGTTTGCCTTTGGCTCAAGTCATGATCCCAGTGTGCTGGGATCGAGCCCCAAGCTGGGCTTCCTGCTCAGCAGGGAGGTCTGCTTCACCCACCCCCTGCCAAGTTGTGTGCATGCTTGCTCGCTCTCTCAAATAAAATCTTTTTAAAAATCTTAAAAAGTTGTAAATGACCTATTCAAATTTTATATTTTTTTCAGTATTTTACCCTAATTTATATACTGTTGGTGCATCTTAATGCTTGTAAAATTAAAGACAGTCTAATTTTTATTGATTAGTTACTTGTGGAGAGAGGAGAATGCAGAACAGCAAGCACTTGCTGCTAAAAGAGAAGATCTTGAAAAGAAACAGCAACTTCTTAGAGCAGCAACAGGAAAGGTGAGCAGGTTCTTTTTATTACTTCAGTTTACATTGAGCCAATTATTACACAAGAATTTGTTAGTTTTCAAGCTCTAAGTCCTTGGTTTCAGGTGATAAATTAAGAGTGTAAATCACTTGTCCTCTAAATTTGAAATGATGGGTCGTGTTTAAGCAGCCTTACTACAACCCATGCATTAATGATAACGCTTTTGATTTTCAGATGAAGAGTCTCATTTTTAATGTTAGTGTCAGAACAGAACCCATAATAAAATGTTTCATGTAGTTGGCATTTTTCAAGGGGGTGATGTGGCATTGGGGAGGGTATTTAGTTTAATCTCTGAAGTATTTTTTAATGTATAAAGTAATGGATTTGTTTCTTACCAGCAGGAGTGCCACTGGAAATATTATTTTAATATTTTTCACTTCTGACAATTTAACAGGCTATTTTAAATGGAATAGACAGCATAAACAAAGTACTGGACCACTTTCGTAGGAAAGGAATAAACCAGCATGTTCAAAATGGCTATCACGGCATTGTGATGAATAACTTCGAATGTGAGCCTGCTTTCTACACATGCGTGGAAGTCACTGCTGGCAACAGGTAAAGTTTTTGTTTGATATTTTGAATTTTTGAAGGAAAGAAGGAATAAGAAGCAGCTTTTTGGAATTTTAGTGTAATCTGTCTTCCATTACCTTCTTTTATCCTAGTTGCTTATTTAATTTTTTAAAGATGTACATGTTAGGTATTCCTAACTGTAGAAGCTAAAACTATCCCTTTTGGGGCTTCCTCTCCTTCTTCTCATTGGAATTTTCTAAGTAGTTTCCCTCCCACCCTACCCCAGTACAAATTGGTTTGCATAGAACAAAAAGTAAATTGTTTGCCTAAACGTTTATAGCACTTTAAAGTCTAGCAATAAAGATGTGTCTTGTTTTGTTTACATGCAGGTTATTTTATCATATTGTTGATTCAGATGAAGTCAGCACAAAGATTTTGATGGAGTTTAATAAAATGAATCTTCCTGGAGAGGTCACTTTTCTTCCTCTTAACAAGTTAGATGTCAGGGATACTGCCTATCCTGAAACCAATGTGAGTTGGTGTGTGTGAAGGTCTATCTTTCTTTCAGTAAGTTATTTCTTCTTGTGGTTAGCACATGCTAGTGCACAGGCACTGTACGTTAGGATTCACTGGTCTGTGAGATAAACATGCTTCTGTTACAGCATGGTCACTACTGGGTAGGGATGGGAAGGGAGATAGGTCACAGGCAACACATGAAACAAATCACTGCAAATGTGTAAAGTGTTAAAATACCTAAGTACAGGCTACTCTGAGAGATTATCCCAGGGTGACAAAATTAAGGAGAAGAAATCCCTGAGGAACTGTCATTTGAAGTAAATATTTTTTAAGTTTTTTGAATATACTTTTTAAATGGCTTATAAATTAAATAAAAATGTTTAGTAAGATAACAGGCCCTGAAAACAACGTTGCTTTTGTTACTTGCTGGTATACTTTAAATGGATTGAGAATATTCCTCAGTGTTCTTGAGAAAAATGTAATTGCTTTGAGGCATTTAGTTTCAGAATGTTGATGGTATTAGCAACTATTTTACTCTCCTAGTCTGAGGTTAAAGCTGAAACTCTATGATAATGGTAACAATTTAAGTGGAACATTGAGAATCTTTTTTTTTTTTTTTTTTTTAGGATTTTATTTATTTATTAGCATGAGAGGGAGGAGGGGCAAAGGGAGAAGGAGACACAGACTACCCCCGTGAGCAGGGAACCCTACGCGGGGCTTGATCCCAGGACCCCTGGATCATGACCTAAGCCGAAGGCGATCCTTAACCAACTGAGCCACCCAGGTGCTCCTGGTACAGTGAGAGTCTTAAAAGCTGCTTTAAAGGGTCTACCTTTTTCTTCTTTAAATCTATAAATTATCCTTTAAGTTTTGGGGAGGAAAATGTAATCACAGATGTGATGCTGTGAATGAAGCAAGACTCAAGAATGCATGTAGTGGGGCACCTGGGTGGCTCAGTTGGTTAAGCGACTGCCTTCGGCTCAGGTCATGATCTTGGAGTCCTGGGATCGAGTCCCACATCGGGCTCCCTGCTCAGCAGGGAGTCTGCTTCTCCCTCTGACTCTCTTCCCTCTCATGCTCTCTCTCAAATAAATAAATAAATCTTAAAAAAAAAAAAAAAAAAGAAGAATGCATGTGGTATGGTTCCCTTTAAACACACAGACAGGGGCACCTGGGTGGCTCAGTTGGTTAAGCGTCTTACTCTTGATTTCAGCTCAAGTCATGATCCTCATAGTCCTGAGACTGAGCCCCACATCGGCTGAGACCAGGCTCCACACTTAGCAGGGAGTCTGCTTGAGATTCTCTCTCTCCTCCCTCTGCCCCTCACCACTCTCCCCAAATAAATAAAATCTTATAAATAAACACATAAAACTAAACTTAGATGATAGAATTTGAAAGAAGTAGAAGGAAATGGTTATCACAAAAGTTATGATAGTGGTCATCTCCAACAGGTAATGTGATTAGGAAAAGGGCACACTTCTTAGTGTCAGCAGTGTTTTATTTCTTGTCCTCCGTGGTATTACATTGGTGTTCTCTTTGTAATTATTAATTTAAGCTTAACATATTTATTGCACTGTTTTAGGTTATATTTCCTAATTTGAAAATTAGAAAAATCCTTTCCTAATAGTTTGGAAGAATGTAAAAAGGGAAAATTTTATATAAAAAGTATTTTCCTGAATACCTAAAACATATATATAACAAAATGAAAACATTTTGAGGAAATAGTGTACATTTTTTTAGCCGTTTTTTTTTTTTTTTTTTTTTTTTTAGAGCGCAAGCCAGCAGGGGGAGCAAGAAGGTGGGAGGTGGGGGGAGAGAAAGGGAGGGGGAGAGAGAATCTTAAGCAGGCTCCATGCCTAGCCTGGAACCCTACATGGGGCTTGATCTCACAACCCTGAGATCGTGACCTCATCCAAAATCAAAAGTCAGACGCTCGACTGACTGAGTCCCCCAGGTGCCCCTATAGCCCTTCTGTGTGAGAGATGCTATCCTATGTGTTTCACATATTATTAGTTTGTTTGGTCTAGTCTAGTCTTAACAACTTTATCAGGAAAGTGCTGCTACTGCAGTTCTGTAGATGAATAACTATTAAATGAAGAAGTTAAGCAACTTGTCCAGAGCATACATCTGATGAGTGTTAGAACTAGGATTTGAGCTTGAGCTGACTCCAGAGCCACTAAACTCTGTCATTTTTCTCTGCTCTTGAAAACTTGGATGATTACATGAATGTAATTTCCAGGATATTTCAGTAGAGTGATTTTTCTAACTTCTTCAGAATAAAATGAAGGCATTTGTGTTTATATTTCATAAAGATGTAATTCATAATTTTGCTAGCATGTTTTAATTAACTGTGTTGTGATCTCTATCCTGACAAAATATTCATTTTTAGGATGCGATTCCTATGATAAGTAAATTGAGGTACAATCCCAGATTTGACAAAGCTTTCAAACATGTGTTTGGGAAAACACTTATTTGTCGTAGCATGGAAGTTTCAACCCAGCTAGCCCGTGCTTTTACTATGGACTGCATTACCCTGGAAGGTTTGTAATAGTAATTCTTAGCTTTGAACAGATAAATTCCATTTTAGTTTTAAGAGTATTTCAAAATTCATGTCCAGTTTTTTATCATTTTTAAATGGTTTGAGTCCAGACAGGATCCACACTTCATATTTAGTTGATGTCTCTTAAGTATAATCATTTGATCTGTAGTAGGGATTCTTAACGTTTTTTGCACTGTGGACTCCTTTGGCTCTTTGGTAAAGCCTATGAGCCCTTTCTCAAAATATTTTTAAGTGCATAAAATAAAATGCTTAGGATCACAAAAGAAACCAATCATACATGGTAATCACAATATTTTTTCAAATATGACATAATTTATTCTTAAAAGTATTCAAAAACAAGATTTAGCAGTGGGTCTAATAAATAAAACTTGGAAGTACTGATACATGTAAACAATATTTTGAGATTTGCAACAAATATAATCTGATAGAAAATAGCTGTTATTTCTCTTGGTAACAAAGTTACAAGTACTGATAATACCACTGTGATTCTTATTTGTTATAACAGAAGGCACTGCTAAATTTCATTTTGTAGTATAAAAATAAAGATGTAGGGCGCCTGGGTGGCTCAGTCGTTAAGCGTCTGCCTTCGGCTCAGGTCATGATCCCAGGGTCCTGGGATCGAGTCCTGCATCCGGCTCCCTGCTCCTTGGGAGCCTGCTTCTCCCTCTCCTTCTCTATCTCTCTTTCTCTCCCTCTCTCTCTCATGAATAAATAAATAGAATCTTTAAAAAAAATAAAAATAAAGATGTAAATTTTTTTTCCTACCTAAGTCATGGATATCCTGAATTTTATCCGTGGAGTCTAGGTTAAGAACCTCTGGTATATTAAGTTCACCTTTCATTTTTCAATTTTTTCCTTTTCTTTATAATTTATTGATGAAAGAAGGTAACACACCCCCCCAGTTTTATCTTTATAGATATTTTTTTTTGCTGTTTTGAACTACCTCTGAGAATAAGTTATAAAAATTATTATGCTTTATTTCTAAAAGTTAAGCATGTATATCTCATAAAAGTAAGGACACTCTCCTAAGCCCCAGGTATCATTGTTACACCTAAGTAATTTAACATAACCCAGTAATATCATTTAAAAAGTACATTAAAATTTTCCCAGTTGTCCCAAAATAATTTTCTGTCCAGGATCTGATCAGGGATGCATGCAATGTCCTCTCTTTGGATTCTTTCAATATAGGACAGCTCCTGTTCTTTCCCACCCTCAGGAAATTGACTTTCTCATAGAATGTCCCATTTTCTGGATTTGTCCTCCTGCTTCCTTATCGTGAGATTTAGTTTAAACATTCTTGGCATGAGTGATGTATATTCTTCCTGCATCACACAATGTGTCCCACTGTTAGTGATGCTAAGTTTGACCAGTAGCAATCTCTCAGTTGTAAAGGTGGCCCTTTCCTCTTCGGAATTAATAAGTGATATGTGGGACTATCCTTTAAGAAAACATGAATATCAGGTTCCCCAACAACTTTTTTTTTTTTTTAAGATTTTTATTCATTTGAGACAGCTAGAGGGAGCATGAGCAGGGGAGAGACAGAGGGAGAGGGAGAAGCAGACTCCCCGCTGAGCCAGGAGCCCAATGTGGGGTTTGATCCCAGGACTCTGGGATGGTGATCTGAGATGAAGGCAGACACTTAACCATCTGATCCACCCAAGCACCCCACCCCAACAATTTTTTTTTACCAGTGGTTTGACTCAATACACTGGGGGTTTCCAAATGGTGATTCTTAAATTCTTTCAAGGCTTCTGTATTTTTTTTTTTTTTTTTTAAGAGAAAGAGAGCTAGCAGGGGTGGGGAGAGAGAAGAGAGAGAGACTCAAGCAGGCTTCATGCTCAGTGCAGAGCCTGATACAGGGCTCAGTCTTAACACCCTGAGATCATGACCTGAGCTTCAATCAAGAATCAGATGCTTAACCAACTGAGCCACCCAGGCACCCCTATCTCTGTGCTTTTAAAAGCATTCAAAAAACTTCTGAAGACTTGCCATTATTATTGTTGATGTTCACATTTTCCCAAATACAGCCAGTGGAATTCCAAACTCCCAAGTCTTGTGTCCTCTTGATCTGTCCCTCTTGGTCTTTAGCACTTCCTTCCTTTCTGGCAGATGTTCACGTTCACCTAGAAGGCACCTTTTTTAAATGCAAATTTTAACAGTTGGAAAGCAAAAGTTTGAACAGAGTGGCTTAAATCCTTTTAAATTCTCATTAAATAGGTAAAGCCTTTAAATTAGTTGTTTGATTATAAATCAATTTATCACTGAATAAAGAAATTGTTACACAGAATTTCTACCTTCCTTGTGCTTTGTTTATAGGTGACCAAGTTAGTCATCGGGGTGCTCTAACCGGAGGTTATTATGACACAAGGAAGTCTAGACTTGAATTGCAAAAAGATGTTAGAAAAGCAGAAGAAGAACTAGGTGAGCTTGAAGCAAAGCTCAATGAAAACCTGCGCAGAAATATTGAAAATATCTTTTTGTCTTGTGCTACGGTGGAGGACTGTTTGGGTTGAAATATGTAATCTTTTACATGTTAAGTGTGTTTTCTCATACAGCGGGGAAAAAATTCCACATTTTACTTTTATTGAAGCATGGGAGCTTATATTGTCAAAAGTTAACTTCTGAAGACAAGGAAAAAACTCTTGTAACATTGATTCTTTCCTTAGCTGTTAATATTTAAAACTGATAGCAGTGAGTCAGTCTATTTCTGAGAGCAAAGAACCTGAGGTGCACTAAAATTTAAAGTTATAGAGGAAACTAAGGAGGATTGGTCAGAATTGTAGAAAGAAAACGAGGTTAGTGTTTCGAAGAAGGGTTGGGGGCCTCTAATGCCACATACTGCATAGAAGTTAAACATAGGGGTTGAAAATGTGCATTAGATTTCTATTTCAAGGTCATTTGGTGCAGACGTAGTATTAGTGGAGAAAGGCTGTCAGAATCCAAGTCTTAGTAAACATAGTACTTTCACTTCTTTCAAATAAAACTGGTGTTCCATGAAGAGTGGCTAGTTTAGCTCACAACAGAAGCATTGTACCTCTGCATTTTCTTGAATTAACCCCAGTACTTTGGTATAAGGCAAAAGTGTTTTATGTGTACTTTGAATTACATCACACAATTTAAAAAATGTAGATACTTGAGGGGGGTACTTACCATGCTCAGTTGGTAGAGCATCCAACTCTTGATTTCTGGGTCATGAGTTTAAGCCCCACATCGGGTGCCAAGATTACCTAATAGGTACTCAAGCATCAAGAAAAACCATTTTTACTGAGTCATTGGAATATTCTTAATGATTTTTTTTTTTTTTTTTTTTTTAGAGATAGTGAGCTAGAGAGCAGGAACAGGGGAGGAGAGGGAGAGGGAAAAACAGGCTCCCTCCTGAGCAGGGAGCCTGACGTGGGGCTCGATCCCAGGACCACAGGATTGTGACCTGAGCCAAAGGCAGACACTTAACCGACTGAGCCACTCAGGCACCCCTGGGATATTCTTAATTGAAAGTGGCAAATTTTTTTTTTAAGTGGGTTTATAGCTTCTGTGCCATCAGTGCAAGCAGCAGCACAGAGCAAAAGGTAAATAAACATGTTAGTTTTGATTTTGCAGGGGTCTGCAGAGCATATTTAGAACTGCCCAAATTTGGCAAGATGTTGGCGCAAAGAAAACATTGGGAAACACTAAGAAAAAGGATATTGACAGCATACATCAACTACCTTCCTGTATTTAATAATCCAGCTAGGTGGTATTATTTTGCTACATTGGACAAGACCTCCTCTTCATACATAACTACCTTCTATAGTGCTTTAAGCATAATAGATTACACAGTAAATATTTCTTGAAAAGATACAAAAAATATATACCTCATTCAGATTCTCTTAGGGTTTCCCAAGAATTTTTGTTTTTATATAGCTTTAAGTAAAATATATGTTATTTTGAGAGAAATGGTGGGGTAAAATGTTTTAAGCTTCTTTATGATATAGCACAGTGTAGTATTTAATTTAGCATTGTTATGGTCCATAAATTTCAGGAAATAACTTTTATTTGGAGGTAAAGAAAAGGAAGGGAGGGGATACACATGTTTTTAAAAGAACTAGAGAGAATTTTCCTTAGCCTTGTATATGGATTAATAATGAAATTGATCAGTTGATGAACCAAATGCAGCAGATAGAGACCCAGCAAAGGAAATTTAAAGCATCTCGAGATAGCATATTATCAGAAATGAAGATGTTAAAAGAGAAGAGGCAGCAGTCAGAGAAAACCTTTATGCCAAAGGTTCGTAAGTATGTCCCTTTTGTTACAGATCTATTTTAATTATTTAGAATTGGGATGGACCGTATGTTACATAGGTTATTATCTGGAGTTTATATGTTCCATTTTTTGTAGACCTATACTTTTGGGCTTCCCCTATCTATACTGTACTTACACCCATGGGTAACCAAAGTCTGATTTTGTAGTCCACATTCAGATTGTCCAGCTTCAGTGAACAAGTAGGCATTTTGAGCTATAGCATAATAGTATTTTCTGATGATCATTAATTTGTTAGTAATCATTTTTGTCTGTTAAGCACTATTTATGGAGTTTGTTTGAATATTTTATCCAAATTCTGTTAAACAGGTAGAAGCCGAACTATTATTGCTAAATTACAAGTAATAACACATTAGTCTCATAAGCTTTAACAAAAACTGTTTAGTTCATCAGTAGTACTAAAACAATAGTTTTTAATTGCCCAACTATACCACCCTAACACATTCTAGCAGTCTTCTCTTTTTGTTCTTATTAATATTTAATATGTAAGAAGATTTTTATATGATTCAGTCATGGAATATGATTGGTCCCACATGCCCTGATAGTATTGTATCATAAGTATTTTTCTTACTGCTACTTAGTTCTAATTATCAAATTAAGTGGATATCTAATAGTTACTTGAGTTGATATGATTCAGTTCACTTTAATATCAAATAGATTGTTCTCAATTTTTCACTATTAGTAAGTAATACAGTGACTAACACGTTTATTAATAAATGGATGATCTGTCACATAGCAACGTAGCTTACAAAGTTTGGAGGCAAGTTTGCATGCTATGGAGTCCACCAGAGAATCGTTGAAAGCAGAACTGGGAACTGATTTGCTTTCACAACTTAGTCTGGAAGATCAGAAGAGAGTAGATGCCCTGAATGATGAAATTCGTCAACTTCAGCAGGCAAGTACAATTTATATAAGTATAAATTTTCATTTATAATTGGCTGTTGTAAAAAGTTTCTTGCTATTAAGGGAATGCAAAAGAAGGGAACTTTGAGAAAACAGAAAAATGAGACTTGAACTTCTCATATCTGTAAGAGTAAGTAAGTTTTTCTACACCATTCTGGGTATGTTAGGATTATACAAGAAGTCTTCATTTTCTTCATCTTCTTTAATGCACTTTTATTATTAGTAAGATTGAGCTTGTTAGCTTTGCTGTCTCTTTTGATCATTCTACCTTTATATAATTAATACTGTTTTTGATTAAACTTTTTTTTAAAGATTTTATTTGTTTATTAGAGCATGAGTGGGGGGAAGAGCCAGGGTGAGAGGGTCAAGCAGACTCCATGCTGAGCATAGAGCCTGACATGGGTCTCAGTCCCAGGACCCTGAGATCATGACACAAGCCAAAATCAAGAGTTGGATGCTAAATGGACTGAGCCACCCAGACACCCCTTGGTTAAACATTTGACTTTTGTATTACAGAGACGTAAATACTAAGTCCAAAAAATGAAAAATAGGTAAATATTTTTGGCGGCATGTCTTATAAAAAGAATCTAGCACACAAACTTAGCATTCTGAATAGGTAAGACAGAAAATGAAGAAAATATAGGGCTTTCTATTGCAGGTCCTTTGAACACAAGTAATGGAGAGGACAGATTAAAGGCATTCCTGTGTGAAATGTGCATGCCTATGTAGACAAATAATTTTCTTGTCTTTTAGGAAAACAGACAGTTGCTGAATGAAAGAATTAAATTAGAAGGTATCATTACTCGAGTAGAGACATACCTAAATGAGAATTTGAGGAAACGCTTGGACCAAGTAGAACAGGTATGTTCTTTTTTGTGCGTTTGTTGATGACTATAACCTTTTGAAAGAACTTAAACACGAGTGGCTTTGATAGACAGCATGGGCTTTGGGGACAGAAAGCACATACCCTGAGTTGGAGTTCTGGCACTGCCATCTAGTGTACTATCTTGTGCAAGTAATGTATTATTCCTTAGCCTCAGTTTCCTCTTGTGAAAACTGAGCATAACAGTAAAACCTGTGTTGTATGATTATCCTGGCCCATTCTAGGTACTCAGTAAGTGTTAGTAACTCATGTTTTCTCAGTATGTCATTCGCTGAGAAATTTTTTAGTTATTATATCGTTACCTTTTTTCCCCTTTAATGGATACTTTAAATATTTGCAATTATACAGAGTGTACTTTCTCTCTTGAATGTTTATTCAAAATAATAGCTATTGGGAAAAGTAATCTATAGCAATAGAAAGCTGAATGATAGTTTTCTGGGGCCATGAGTAGAGGGAACTGATTATAGAGGGGCACAAGGGAACTTCTTGGTTTAATGAAAAACTGTATCTTCATTGTAGTGGTAGTTATGTGGGTGTATACATTATCACAGCTCACTGAGCTCTGTACTTAAAATTGGCTCATTTTATTAGTTGTAAATTATACTTCATTGAGGTTGATTAAAAAACAAGAATATTCATAGCATTATTTATAATAGTGAAAAACTAAAAACCATACAAATGTATATCAACAATTCGATGATTAAATTTTTATATATTAATGCAAAAAAAGTAACAGCTGTTGGAAACTGTTGATGTAATATTTTGAAACTAACAAAATTCATATTCTGTGGTTTAATGTTATCTTAAGTTTCTTTTATCTTGCAGGAACTTAATGAACTGAGAGAGACAGAAGGGGGTACTGTTCTCACTGCTACAACCTCAGAACTTGAAGCAATCAATAAAAGAGTAAAAGATACTATGGCACGATCAGAAGGTGAAGTTTTATTTAGTAAAAATTTTTTTTTGTATTTTGTTAAAAGTTAACTTATTTATTTGATAAAATTGTTTACTACAAAATGAAATACCCAAATAGGCAAAAGCATGCACTAACGATTTTGTGTTTTCCATCACCATAAATAATTTATGATGAATGTAGTTTAGTGGGTTGATTATAAATAGTAACCTTTGTTTTGTTGAAATGTTTGTGACAATTTTATGAGAGACCATAATTACTAATTTTGTTTCCAAAAGTGTGAAATAGCTGAATTAAGTTTCTTATCACCTAGTTGCTAAGAAGAAAATTTTTTAAATTTTTTATAAACATTTAATAATGAGAAATATATACTTGACTAATGTACACTCCTATTTTTGTCCTGAATTAAATGTTTCATGGTTTTACACAGTACCATTTAAACAAAGAGAAAAAACCTAAAACCTATTTATTTTGATCTACTTGGCCATTAAAATCTTCAACTAGTACTCTAGCTTTAAAATAGGCATTATGGCTTAATTTGTTTTTTTTCCCCCTATTTTAGATTTGGACAATTCCATTGATAAAACAGAAGCTGGAATAAAGGAGCTTCAGAAGAGTATGGAACGCTGGAAAAATATGGAAAAAGAACACATGGATGCTATAAATCATGATACTAAAGAACTAGAAAAGATGACAAATCGACAAGGCATGCTACTGAAGAAGAAAGAAGAGTGTATGAAGAAAATTCGAGAACTTGGATCACTTCCCCAGGAAGCATTTGAAAAGTACCAGACACTGAGCCTCAAACAGGTAAATTGTGTAGTTTTAAATTTGAAATCTTAATGCAAATTTCTCTTCATGTGAATTTAGTTATACATTTATTTTTCTCTTTGTAGTTGTTTCGAAAACTTGAACAGTGCAACACAGAATTGAAGAAGTACAGCCATGTTAACAAAAAAGCTTTAGATCAGTTTGTAAATTTCTCTGAGCAGAAAGAAAAGTTAATAAAACGACAAGAAGAGTTGGATAGGGGGTACAAATCAATCATGGAACTGATGAATGTACTTGAACTTCGAAAATATGAAGCTATTCAGTTAACTTTCAAGCAGGTAGGTTTCTGTTTGTATTTAATGCATACACAAGACAAAAGCTTTGGCTGTTATTCAGTTTATTACTCACTTTGTAAAGGTTTTTAAGTTTTTTTCCCCACTGATAGTTGGATCTAATACAAGTGAACAAATCCAGCATATAGTTTTCTAACACACTAATTAGAATATCCTACACAGCTCTTAAAAGGATTCAGTCTGTTGCTCTGGTTAAAATATTTGTGATTGCTTTTAAATATTTGTCTTTGCCTTAAGAAATAATATGTGCAATGCCACCTAAGCAGAATTTATATTTGAATCACCGTGTAATTTATTCATTTGTTCGTTCATTCATTCTTTTTAAAGGTATCCAAGAACTTCAGTGAAGTATTCCAGAAGTTGGTACCTGGTGGCAAAGCTACTTTGGTGATGAAGAAAGGAGATGTGGAGGGCAGTCAGTCTCAGGATGAAGGAGAAGGAAGTGGTGAAAGTGAGAGGGGTTCTGGCTCACAAAGCAGTGTCCCATCAGTTGACCAGTTCACTGGAGTTGGAATTAGGGTAAAATACCTTTATATCCAATTTTCCCCAGTATTACTGTAGTGGCATTTGTAGAATATTTTACATATTAAATTGGTGCATTGTATGTGATTTAAGAGGTGATGGTGATTCTACCCCTTTTGGGTATTAACTCAGTTAAATGTTCTCTTAGGTGTCATTTACAGGAAAACAGGGTGAAATGAGAGAAATGCAACAGCTTTCTGGTGGACAGAAATCCTTGGTAGCTCTTGCTCTGATTTTTGCTATTCAGAAATGTGACCCAGCTCCTTTTTACCTGTTTGATGAGATTGACCAGGCTCTGGATGCCCAGCACAGAAAGGCTGTGTCAGGTAGTTTGGGTTTGTATTTAACAATGACAACTTGCTTAAAAATGATAACTTGCCTCTTTGGTAGTGAATTCTTGTTGCCTAAGATATTTGGGGGGACTAGACAGGGTGTATATTCTGTAAATAAAATTTCTTTTAGTAAGTTTTTTAGAATTTAGCATTAGACTACTTTACAAAGTTTAATTCTGTGAGAGGTCGATGTGTTTGTCAATTGAAAATCCTTCAGTTAAACTTTTACACAGAAGTCTCTCTTTTTAAAACTTGTTTTTCTCAATGGTTGAATAGCCCCTGACATTAAATGTTGATTCTGTATTTAAAGAATCTATATTTGGGGATGCATGCGTGGCTCAGTCAGTTAAGCATCTGCCTTCGGCTCAGGTCATGATCCCAGAGTCTTGGGATCAAGCCCTGAGTGGGGTTCCCTGCTCAGCGGGGAGCCTGCTTCTCCCTCTGCCTCTCCCCACTACTCATGCTCTCTCTCTCAAATAAATAAAATCTTTAAAAATAAATAAAGAATCTATATTTGATCTTTAGTAAATTCAAAAGATCTTTGGGGATGTGCATAGCAGGGGAAGGTTGTTCTGGTTTTGTGTGTGAGAAAAGTTGTTTTGCTCTGACAATTTTAATGCTGTGTTATAAGTAGCCGCTACTTCATATTCTGTAACTTTAAGATATTGGGTAAAAGGTCTATCCCTAATATAAGAGAGTAAGTTGGTAATTTTGCATATATGCATGAAAAATAAAGTCACAGGCTGTTTTGAATTTTAGGTAAGTGAAGATAGTTGCTTTTTAAATGTTCAGATCTCCTCAGAAAATGGTTTTATTAAATTACTATTTCTTTTTATAGATATGATTATGGAACTTGCTGTACATGCACAATTTATTACAACTACTTTTAGGCCTGAACTGCTTGAGTCAGCTGACAAATTCTATGGTGTAAAGTTTAGAAATAAGGTAAAAAAATTTTTTTTACATCGAGTTTAAGTTTGTATTGTATTTGTCAAATTTTTGTTTTATGTTACTTAAATCATAAAGGAAAACTTAGAAATTTGTTGCTTATCTTATGATGAATTTGTAAAAAAAAAAAAAAAAACTTTCAGATGCCTGTGAAGTTTAGTTTTTTTGTGGCATTCGTTGCATTGGTTTTATTTTCATTGTCATTAAGAGACAATATCTTCCTGTCTGGTCTATTTAGTGCACAGTCTTTAACAGTTCCATACGGTTATTTCTATTTGGCTGGGCCATACATCTCTTCCTGATGTCTTCAGCCTTAAGATTCTTTGAAATAGCAAAATAGTAAAAACTGAAAAAACATGGTTTGATATTTAGACATTAGTACTTACCCAGATCTTCAGAGTTCTAAAATGCAGAATATTTTTTAAACTCATGCTTTCAACAAACAACATTATAAAGGTCTTAGCCATCAGTGTTTTAGACTCATTTGACTTGATATGTAAAATTTATAGGTGATTGGCCATATTTTTAAAATAGTACTCTGAACAGTGAGAACACTGATATTTTTTTAAGGTTTAACACAGTTTTTAACATTTTTTCTTCAGGTTAGTCATATTGACGTGATCACAGCAGAGATGGCCAAAGACTTTGTAGAAGATGATACTACTCATGGTTAAACGGAAAATATTGTCCACTGGTTTGGAAGTTGTGTATAGTAATATGAATCTCATACCCAGGAACTGTACATTTAAATATGTAGTCACTACTAATAGTTTTCAGACTTAGAGCATACATAGTCTTTTTATATTTCTGTCATTGTATTTTATAAGATACTCTGTAATGTTACATTTCTACTTATAGTTTAAGAATTTTATTTCCCACACAACTTTTTGTAAAGTGTCCTGCTCCTGTTTTAAATCTTTTGAAACATGCTAAATATTCTTTCCTAATTATTTTATCAATTATATTGCCTTTTTTTATAGCTTCAATTAAATAATTGGTTTATGACTAATTTAGTATTTTATGTGGCTTTTTATTTATAGTTGTATGATTAGAAACAAAGTTTTCTTAAATATCTGCTTTTTGTTTTGCCTAAGAAAAGGTCTGCCTTTACCTAAAAAGATTCTTTAAACGTGGCTTCATATTCTTTTGAAATACATCCACGATTCCCAGTCCTGGCTGCGTGCTTAAATCCATGGGGGGAGCTTTAAACTGCTGGTGTATTTTTCCCTAGACCAGTTGAATCAAAATCTTTATGGAGTGGGGTTCTGGTTGTTGCTAGTTCTTAAGTTCCCCCAGGTGATTATGACCGTTGCTGAGGATTAGAACCCTGGCTTTAACTTATTGTAATGGTTCTTTAAAAATAGTTTTAATTTTAAGAGAGCAGTGTATTTACTAGAATTTAGGAAGATAGTTTTAAGAGTAGCTAAGAACACTAAGCCAAAAAATTGAGTCATAAAGTTTCCTTGTTTTTCTGATTAAAAGTTTGGAAAACTTTATTGTTGAAACTTTTTTCCCCCCTCAGATGAGGTCTTTGTTTATTATGTTTATTAAATCACTTTATTGAGAATTTAATTCATAGACCATAATATCCACCTGTTAAAATTATGCAATTCAGTACTTTTTTAGTATATACACAGAATTGTGAAATCATCTCTACAGTCTAATTTTAGAATATTTTCATTACTCCAAAAAGAAACCCTGTACCTATTAGCACTCACTCTGTATCTCCCGCCTCCCTTATCCCTTGGCAGCTATAAATCTAGTTTGTGTCTCATACTGTGGATTTGCCTGTTCTGGACATTTCATATAAATACAATCTTACAGTGTGGGGCCTTTTGTGACTGACTTGTCTCAGCATGTTTTTAAGGCCCATCCATGTTGTAGCACATATCCATAATTCATTCTTTTTTATTGCTGAGTGATATCCCATTGTTGGAATATATACTGTGGTTTGTTTATCCAACCATTAGTTGGACACTTGGCTTGTTCTCACTTTTGAGTATTATAAATAACACTGCTATGAATGTTCATGAACAAGTTTCTGTGTGGATATGTGTTGTCATTTTTCTTGGATTGGAATTGTTGGTCATATGGTAACTTTTTCACATTTTCAGGACTGCCAAACTTTTTTCTTTTTTTCTTTAATTTTTTTTTTAAAGTTTATTTAAGTAATCTCTACACCCAACATGGGGCTCAAACTCATGACTGCAAGATCAAGAGTCTCTCATGCTCTTGTGACTGAGCCAGCCAGGCACCCCAGGAACTGCCAAACTTTCCCAAAGGAGTTGCACCATTTTAGATCTCCACCAGTAATATATGAGGGTTATGGTTTTTCCATATCCTCACCAACACTTGTTATTCTTTTTTATTATCATAGCCATTCTTGTGAATGTGAATTGGTATCTCATGATCTTAGTTTGCATTTGCCTGTTAACTAATGATGTTAAGCATCTTTTTATGTACTTATTGGTCACTTGTGTATCTTCTTTGGTGAGATGTTTATTCATATTTTTTGCACATTTTAAGATTCTGTTACTTATTATTGAATATAAATAACAGGGGTGCCTGGGTGGCTTAGTTGGGTAAGCGCCATGTCAGGCTCTCCACTCCGTGGGGAGTCTACTTTTCCCTCTCCCTCTGCCTGCCGCTCTGCCGGCTTGTGCATTCTCTTTCTCTCTGTCAAATAAATAAAATCTTAAAAAAAAAAAAAGAATATAAATAACAGAATTTGTAAGAGTTCTTAAATATTCTGGATACAAGTCCCTTATCAGGTATAACTTGCAAATACTTTCTCCCAGCCTGTGAATTGTCTTTTTGCTTTCCAAATGGTGTCTTTTGAAAGATAACATTTTTATTTTTATCTATTTATTTTTTAAAAGATTTTATATATTTGACAGAGACACAGCGAGAGAGGGAACACAAGCAGGGGGAGTGGGAGAGGGAGAAGCAGGCCTCTCACAGAGCAGGGAACCTGACGCGGGGCTCGATCCCAGGACCCTGGGATCATGACCTGAGCCGAAGGCAGACACCCAACAACTGAGCCACCCAGGCGCCCCTGAAAGATAACATTTAAAAAAAAATAAAGTTAGGGGCTCCATCCCAGGACCCTGAGATCATGACCTGAGCTGAAGGCAGATGCTGAACTAACAGCCGTCCAGGCACCCCATAGAGACTGTTTTATTTCTTCCTTTTCAAAATATATATCTTTTTTTTTCCTTGCTGATTTCTCTTCCTAGAGTTTGTAGTTGTTTAGGTAACAGGAGGGTTGGTTTGTTAGGAGCTACTCCGCTAGTGGGAGCCAGAAATGCCTAAAGAGGCATTTTTAAAATAAGGGAAGTTTTGTGAATTTAAATTAAAAATGTATATTCACTTTCATTTTGACTAGTTAAATCTGTAGAGTTTAAATGTTAAGTACATTGTTTATGCTCTAGTTTTGCTATAATATGATCGATCTTCCCAGGGCCTCCTGGGTGGTTTAGTCAGTTAAGCGTATGACTTTTTTTTAAGATTTTATTTTATTTGACATTGAGAGAGACAGCGAAAGAGGGAACACAAGCGGGGGAGTGGGAGAGGGAGAAGCAGGCTTCCCACAGAGCAGGGAGCCCAATGCAGGGCTCGATCCCAGGACCCTGGGATCATGACGTGAGCCGAAGGCAGACGCCCAACGACTGAGCCACCTAGGTGCCTCTTAAGTGTATGACTTGATTTTGGCTCAGGTCCTAATCTCAGGGTCGTGAGATGGAGCCCTGTGTCATGCTCCACACTCAGCAGAGAGTCTGCTTGAGATGCTCTCTCTCCCTCTCCGCTCCTCTCCCCTTGCATGTGTATGCTCTCTCAAATAAATCTTTTAAAAATGTGTATATTTACAAATACATACATAATTGATCTTCCCTGACAGAATTTGGTATAAGAAATATTGTATGTAGGTCCCCATTCAGAGGGTTCTGTAAGCATAGTTTCTTTCTAGTATTCCTAAAATGTTTCTTAAGCATCTCCCCAAAGATACTCATTATGAGTCACTGTGTATAGAGGTTGAAATGTCTGGTGTATAGTGTATGATAGATCGCTTTGCTTTGATACGACCAACCTCCATAATACGGATTTTGGCAAGGGATGTTACATGCATAGCATCATTCTAGAACTTAATGTTCTTAAGCATCTCGTGAATATCCATATAATGAAACTCCAGTGAGTTTGTAGCAATAAGCACCTAAATAATGAAATATAGAATGTAAATGTTAAAACCCATATTGGGGTGCTTGGGTGGCTCAGTCGGTTAAGCGCCTGACTCTTGATCTCAGCTCAGGTCTTGATCTCAGGGTTGTGAGTTCAAGCCCCGCATTGAGCTCCATGCTGGGTGTGGAGCCTACTTAAAAAACAAAAAACCCCATATTCTTTGCTATATCATAGTGATGACATAAGATTATTAATTCTAATGAATAGAAATTGTTAATTCTAATGAATAGAAAAATGGAAAGTACCAGTTTTTGAAAATGATGCAATTTGGGGCATGTGAGTGGCTCAGTCAGTTGGGTGTCTGCCTTCAGCTCAGACTGGGGTCTGAGCTGAAGACCTGGGGTCCTGGGATCGAGTCCCGTATTGGGCTCCCTGCTTGGTGGGGAGTCTCCTTCTCTCTCCCTCTGCTGCTCTCTCTCTTTATCAAATGAATAAATAAAATCTTTAAAAAGATGCAGTTTATAGAAATCGTTTACTCTGAATAGTGTCTTATAATAGAAGTATATAAAAGGTGAAAGATGAGTTTTGGATTTCTTTTTTCTTTGTTTTTTTAAACGAGGCAATAGCAACTCTTTAAAAGCATTTGGTTAATTCTTCTAGTATTACACTATATGTTAACTAACTGTAATTTAAGTAAGAACTTGAAACAAAAAATAGTAACAAATCATTTGGTTAATTCTTAAAGGAGTTTCCCTCAACCTCTGGATAGAGGACTAGCACTTTCATTCAGCTTCCCACAAAGGGAGAATACCAGGGTTGAGGAAAAGAGAACAGTATTAGGATTCTGCTGTCACCCAGCAGATGGTCTCCTTAAACAAGGAGCAGCATTGCATTGCTGGGATCCTCCCATAGAGGTGCAGAAAGTATGTTCTGTCTTAAGGATTCTAACAGTTTTAGGAATTAGTATTCATTCTTTCTCTTTACCTTTTACTCAGGCCTAAATCCTTATCCTGAAACACTAACCCAAGTTTGCATATTTATGTTGTATCTGCTATGTTAAGCAGGGGAAGAGTAAATAGAAAACAGATGCATATTAATGCAGTTAAAATTGGTGACAGCACAGTGTTAATCCAATACCTAGAAAATAGGGAGGTTTTTCCCTCCCTACTTGAGGATTTTTCCTTTGCTTTTAATTATATGTAATTAGGTAGAAATTCTCTTCTGTGTGAAGATTAAGCAGTAGTGAAAGCCTTGTTCCCTAGGTTTCATACTTTTGGGAGAAATAGGTAGCTCGCTCTTTTCCTCTGCGATAAACAATGGAATCTATTTCCAGAAATTTCTAGGAATGTTATGGCCTTTGTTTTCATCACATTAATTTTCAATAAAGTAGATTAATTCAGTTACATTTCTAGGAGGAAAAGTATAGCAGGAGCTCAAGATTTTGTAAAGCATTTGCTCTTAAATACAGCTTTTTTTGGTCAACACTTTCTAAATTAAAAATATCAGGACCCTGCACATAGGATATATTTAGATCTAAAGATACAAGATTTTTAAATTTTTAGTCTAATACTTTTATAGATGAGGAAATTTGAAGCCCAGGTTAACACCCGGGTAAGTAGAACCCCAGATGACTTAAGTGAGCTGAGCACACACAGCTGACCTTCCTAGCGAGAGCCAGTTTTCCAATCCCTGAGTACTTTGTTCCCCCTACTTAACTATGAAAATGAAGATGTGTCATATTTGTACAGTGCTGATTGATCCTCTGTGTTAGTGTTAACAGATTTTAAGGGTGAGTCACTACCTTCTTTTGTTTTCTTCAGCCTTTCCCCCCATACCC